TGCCAATTCTCCGAGGCTTTCAGCTCTTGTGGCACTGGAAAAAGGGCAGATGCAAAGACAAATGAAAGGCAAAACTGTTACTGCAACAAATGCTGGGGGAAACGAGGGCTTTTCCTGTGTTCGGATGAATCCCACCTGGCACAGCTGCAGGCTGCCATAAGCTGCCACGTTGTGCTGAGCTCTGATAGCTGCCAACACTGCAGCACAACTCCTCTGGGGATGGGGGGTCAGAGGGCTCTGCAAGCTGCAGACTTGGCCAAAATTATCCCGCCGTGGTCATGTTTATGGGCTGTCTGTGGGTCTCTGAGGTCATACATGGTCATCTTGTGGTGGTGGGAGCATGCAGGGGAACTGGGATGATGCAAATTGCTCAGAGCATAGGGCTGGACTCCAACCATCGCTGCCTTAACCTCAGGAAGGGTTTTTTCACAGCACTGCGCCTGGCTTACTGCTGGGACACATTCAGCATCTCCAGACTGCTTCTTTGAATTCCCACAGAGGGGCCCAACCCCTCATCCCTGTCCTGGCTTCTTTCCCGTTGGAACAATGTTTCAGGTTTAGGGATCTTATTCATTGCTCCTAAAGGTGAACCATTTTTGGTTGGGAGAGCCTTGTGTGGGTCAGACCATGTGCTGGATGAGGCCGGAGGGGCTATGCAGACATAGGAAATGCTCACAAGGCTTACACATCCCTTGTGTGTGCAGCTGAATGAAGATACAGGTTCTGCATGTGCCTGTGCTGTTAGCTGTGCCAGAAGCACATTTATTGTCCTTGTCATCTGCAGCTCGGTCTGGCTTCCAGCAGTTCACCATACAGTCTGTGCTGAGCTGCTGCTCCAGCACGGCCACATCCACGTGGGAGATGGCACAGCTGGATCCTGCTTCCCAAGAGTTAGGAGCTGTTCCTTTCATTGTGTTATTATACAGAGCACTAGGGCAGCAATTTTGCTCCCAGGACAGCAGCTATCGCCTTGGCTGCTTTACTTCCTTCTCTCTTCCAGTGGTATCCAATATTGAAACTCAGTATCAACCTGCAGTCCCAAGGTGAGGGCAGCAGGGGCACGGAAGCTGCTCACCCACCAAACCAAGACAGCTCTATCCATAGCCTGTAAGTCAGTTTAAGTCACTGCCTGCCTCCCAGCTGAGCTGCTGAAAGCTGCTCCATCCCACCAGGCTCTCTGGCTGCCTTCAGCCCAGGCACTGGCTTACAAGGGAAGAATAGGACAGGACGTCTTCTGCAGAGCCATCCAGGAGCACGTTTGGAAAAAAACCTCTCCTTCTGTGCTTCATACAGCAATGTGTTTGGACTCTGTGGCTTCACCCAGCCTGAGCTCACTTCCCAGCAGGTGCACGGCGCAGCCATTGGCACTGCAAAGCCAGAGGGTGGGAGAGGCACCAGCTCAGATCTTCACCTGGGAAAGAAATATGGCCTGGTGCAATACGAAGGGAAAAACAAACATCTGAAGATAAGGCTGAAATAATCTCCCAGGTGTTGGTCTGGCTTCTCCCAGGGCTGATGATGGACCCCTCCCTGAGGTGCTCCTGGAGCTCCTCACTCAGGGCTGCCTTTATCTCCACTGCCACAGCTCTCACCTCTACCACATATCTCCTCTGTAGCGCTCGGCTTTGAAGCAGCACCTGAATCATTTGCATGTGTGCTTCTGTTCCTTAGCTAGTGGGAGAGGCACACTCGGGCTCGTGTCCTTTTGAACAGTTGCACGCTCTGAGAGCACCTGCACGTGTCAGAGATAGGCTGCAAGGCACCGGGGAGCAGTTTGCCCTCTAACCACATCAGCCCACACTGACTTCTCAGGCTGCAATGCAAGAGTTCATTCCAGCCGTGTTCATTCCTGAGTTCATCCAGTTTGCACATGTTGCCAGTTGTCCATCCCAGCCCCAGTTTGACCTGCTGAGATGCAGCTCCTGGATTACACAGCAATTATGGACCTAAAATAGACACAGTGAGACCAAAAGCAAAGGCAACAGCCCCCGTGTTACAAAGCACTTGTTATTCCCCTCCTCATTGCCAGCCTCACAAGGAAAGGAGAGAGCTGAAAATTCTAAGTAAGGAAAAAAGTCCTCCAACAATCTGGTGTGAACATACAGGTTGAAAACTCGAGATTAGCGCCCCCAAAATATTAACAGCAGCAGACAGACATTACGCTGCATGGCATTGTGCCTGATTTTCTCTCCTTATCTGCTGGATTGCAAAACCAGCAACAGAAAATGGAAGCCAGTCTGCTCAGGTTGGCGTGATCCGAACAAACACCGTCTGGCAAATAGGAAACAGCACACAGCTTGGGATGGTATCCAAAGGTCAGATTTGTGCTGACACAGTGAAAATGGGCTTCGTCATACCAGCTTCTTCTCAGAGAGGGTATCTGTAGTGGTTTCCAGTACCCTATGGGCACCAGGCAGCTCCCAATGGGATGCAGGGTGCTGCTCTCAGTCTGCTCTGGGAGGCAGAGAACATCCCCTCCCTTCTGCTCCCACCCAGCTCGGTTTAGAGCTTAAACCTCCCTACCAGGACAAGGAAGCCTTGCAGCACCGATACCAAAGTTCTGCAGTTTTCCTTTCAGATTTCCCCTCTCCTTAACCCTCAACTGAAAGGATCAGATGCAGTACCTCAGCCAAACCAAATATCACACACCCATTGAGCTTTCACCTTTGTTAAACAATAAAGCTGTCCTGGAGATGGTTTTTCAGTAACCCTGAAGAAGAGCAGTAATGTAGGAGCTGTTTTCCAAAGTGAAGTGAAGCACAGCACGTACACCAGGGCAGCAAGCAGTGCTGTAAATAACCTCAAGCTTGCTTTGTTTGCTCATAAAATAAATGATTAATAGCTCAGGATAGTCAGTCTGGTATTGGAGGCTGGGTGAAAACTTTTGATCAGTTCCATTCATTAACCTTTAAAATTACCTCTGCAAAAAGAGACTTGAAATGTGAAGGAGGAGCACGGTTTCAAAACCAACACTCTACTTTTGTCCACAGCTCTGTGTTTGGCAAGCTGAGCTGAACACTGAGATGCTGTGTCCCTCTTTAGAGCACTCAGCATCTCAGAGTCGGGTGCCTGGGAAGAAATAACGGGGCAAAATAAGGCTGATGTAGACAAAAGCATGTTCATCTTAACATTCAAAACCATTGGGGCTGGGGGAAAAATGTTACTCCCTTTGTGATGTGTGAGCGCGTGGCCGATTTGCAGGTGGCTTCCCAACTGCCTCTTTATTCCTTTTGGTTTTAATGCTAATAAAAAAAAAAAAAGGAACACAAACGGGGGCTCAGCTCCTCACACAATGCGCTGGGGGAGGGCAGGGAGTTGTCACTTCTGTATCCAAAAGTCTGACTCAGACAAATTACTTCTAGTTCACTTCTTTACTACACGCCGGCATTGTTCCAACACATCGGCAGCAGAAGGGCTCCATCCCCAGCTATCTGGTCACAGGAACAGCGCTGCGCACCGATGCCGTTAAAGAACCGTTCCAATTACTTCCCTGGGGAAAGAAGTGACTTGCAGCTTAACGTCCTGCCCGCGCGCAGCGGGAACACAAACCGTCCCAAAGAGCAGCTGATGGCTGCTGCTGCACAGCCCCTGCCCTGGGATGAGCTGTGGTTTGTTTTGTAGGGACAGCAGCTGGGTCCTGGGTCACAAGTACAGATGGTTGGGGCCTCAGGAGCAATTTGCTTTGAAAGTGACGTTGGGAAGAGATTTGCAGGAGGAAAAGGGCATCAGAAGCAAGGATGACTGATGGCTGCTGTTATCAGGTTGATCCTAGAGCGCTGCTATTGGCTTCGTTCTGCCACCTAGAGAGCATGGAGGTACTGCGATGGGGCTGGGGCGGCCAGCAGGGACAGGGAGGTGATCGTCCCTCTCTACTCTGACCTCGTGAGACCAATCTGGAGTGCTGAGTCCAGGTTTGGAGCCCCAGAAACAAGAAAGACAGAGAGCTGTTGGAGAGGGTCCAGAGCAGAGCCGCAGAGATGAGCAGGGGACTGGAGCAGCTCCTGCAAAGACAGGCTGAGGGAGCTGGGCTTGTTCAGCATGGAGAAAAGAAGGCTGCAGGGTGACCTCATTGCAGCCTTCAGTGCCTAAAGGGAGCCTACAAACAGGAGGGGAATCTTTGAAAGGGTTGATAACAGCAGGACAAGGGGAAATGGTTTGAAGTTGAGGGACGGAAGATTGAGGTTGGATGTCAGGGGGAAGTGGAGAGGCGCTGGAACAGCTGCCCAGAACACCCTGAGCATTGGAGGTGTTCAAGGCCAGGTTGGATGGGGCCCTGGGCAGCCTGGTCTGGTGTTAAATGGGGAGGTTGGTGGCCCTGCGTGTGACGGGGGTTGGAGCTTCATGATCCTTGAGGTCCCTTCCAACCCTGGCCATTCTGTGATTCTGTGATTGAAGGGGCACAGCAGATCCTGACCCTTTGCAGAGCCAGAGAGGTGCTGCACAAGCACTGTGTGACCGCAGCCGTAACACAACTACCAGCAGAAGCACAGCAGTCCACATTTAAGAGAATCAGAAGCCTTTCTTCAGGAATGGCAGCAGTAAGGTCAAAAGGTTGCAAACCTTAACAGACAACAGCTCACAGGGCCAGCCTGCAGGGGGCTGTGCTCCAATTACACAAAGATTTGTTAGTCTGATGGTTTCACGAAGAAACTTTCAAGCCATAGCCCTTGAGTTCTAGAATGGTCTTCTCAAATCCTATCAAAAGATCCCATCTTATTTAATCCAATATAAAGATTGGATGCAGTGCTGCTTCAGACCTCCACCAGTGGAGCCAGGGCATGATATTTATAAAGAAATCAGAACTGAGCTACAGTTCCATCTGTACTTCAATCTTTAAGTTCATCTACACCAAGAAAGGGAACATTTCACTCTCCCCCTTGTTGACACAGAACATGAAAATATAAAGGCCAAAGCAGCACTGAGAAATACATAGTAGTAGGAAAAGAGCTTTAGATGAGAAGGAAAAATACCTTAAGATGGAAGGTACCACAACAAATGTACCACTCCAGTCACACAGTTGAATACAACAAACTGCTGGAGCTTGGAGGGCAAAGGAGAGACTGCAGGAGATGAAGATGAGCACCAGTGGCATTGAAAAAGGGATGTGTAAATGGCGAGCTAAAACAGGAGGTAAGAGAGGAGGAGACAAAGCAGTCCTGTCTGAGACAAAAGGGCAAAATTAGAGTAAGTTGCTTTATTACTCTTATGATATCACCACATAAAACCAGCACGTCAGGAATTATTTTAATGCACATCATTATGTGAAGGGTCATACAGCAGTATCAGTAATTCATAGTGTTAACAGTTTGATGGTACGAACTTTAAAACAGCTGTTGTTCTTGATGAAATGGAGCACTTCTCAGCTGCCCAGTCAGCCCTCTGTGAAAACCCACTGTGTGCTGCTCCTGGCACTCAGCAGTGCAGTTTTAGAAGGGAGACCATTGGCACCTCCATGCTCCATGGTGCAGCAACAAGACTGCAGTAACAACAGGGACATCCAGGTCTGCTCGCAGTTAATGCACCCCACAGCTGTGGTGGGGGAATTCTGAACCTAAGAGCAACCCAGGTGATCCTCCACCAAACTGGAAGTGCTTGTTAAGAAGTGTCACTGCTACCATACAAAGAGAGTTCCATCTGAGGGCAGGCAATGTGCCTCAGCCTGCTTGCAAAGGAGCCTTAAGTAGCACAGGGGGTTTGGGTGTTTAGTTCAATCAGCTTTTAAAAAGCCTGATCAAAAAGTTTTAAGGAATTGCAAGGTATTAATTAGTGTGCTCTGTAGAGGAACAGATTGATCCCAAGTGCATGAGAGGAACTGAGCAAGAATATTTACAGGGCTTGTATCAGAGAGACTTCATGCTTTGATTCAGTCTCCCAGAGAGAAAACTGCAGAGGAACTCTCCTAGGGAGAACACAGCTATCCCTGCAACGGTTTGTACTGGATTTCCTGTCTTACATTGAAATCAAGAAAAAACATCCTTGCTTTCAGAACCAAGCAGGTCCCCAACTCCCATCTCACCACTACAGCGAGTGCAGCAGCACAGAAAAACCTTTCCACCTCGCAAGCATTCAGATCATGCCCAGAACATTGCTCCCACGATTAGATCTATTCCCCACTTACTGTCAAGTTGTCATATTAAAAGTGCTTTTTTTTTTTTTCCTCTTTTTTTCCTTTTTAGGAAATACAATAAGCAAACAAAACCAAAGAAAAATAAGGTCTCTTGAAAAGAAGACTGATTTTACTGAAGGTTCCCAAGGCATTTTACTCTCCCTGAGGCACTGTAGTAAGTTTCCGTGGGGTATTTAGCAGCTCTAAACAGAGCTAACAGAAGACGAATGAGAATATTTTGATGAGGACACAAGAGGCAACTCTCCTTGATAGGTGTTAATTCAAACACATTCATCAGTCAAGAGCAAGAGAACCACCTTTTCCCTTAGCTGCTGGAAGGCACCATCCGCTCCACAGGCGTTGTACAACGAGCTATTTGCTCTCAGGCTTTTTGTTATAAATGAGGAAGTCAGAAACGTCGTGCCACACGTTGCTGTCGTCATACAGGTAGGTCATGGAGGCCTGCAGAGAAGGCTGCAGGGTCTGCCGGTGGTACTCAAAGAGCCAGAGAACTGTTCCCCACACCAGAGCAGCGACAAGCGGGAAGGGATCCTGCTTGGGCTGTGGGATGCAGCCCTTCTCCACGGCCAGGCGAGACAGGCCAAACAGGATGCGAGACAGCAGGTACATAATGATCTGCACGGAGAGAAAAGCCAGAGAACGTCAGGAGAAGAGCCTGGCTGGTAAATCTGATCAGAGTGAGCGATTCAGCTGTGATAAGCTGTGCAAGAGAGGCAGCAACAGTTCATCTCGTGTAACAGCAAACAGACTGTAGGTTCACACATCAAACCATCTCGAACTGGAGATGTTTGTGCCTTCCCTGTCTTCTCCAAGTCCTACTGCCATGTAAGTGCTCTAGTTTAGTAAGCAAGAAATTACACCTGACGCAATAAATCTTTGCGGTTGCAGATCAGTTGCACAACTTTCATCAATGCTACCTCAGATGCTGCTGCTGATATCCACAGAGCAGCCTTGTTAGCCTGCCAAGATACAAACCCAGAACTCTGGGCGCCACCTGAAACCCGACGGAAGGTATGGTCTTAGAGCAGGGGGGTGTGCAAGTGGAACACTTGTGATTCACCTCTGCCTACATGTTTTATTGACCCACATTAAAACTGGTAACAAGCAGCTCCAAACCAAGCTTTCCCTGAGCAGCTTTTGTCAGTTTACCCCATTTAGTCAAGTGTAGCTCTGCAACCAACCGTTCTCCACACACAACAAAGCTCAAGCCTGTGGGTTTAGCTCTGCAAGCAGGCAGATTGAGCACAGTTACCACAGGGCAGAGGATGGGTGGGGTAACCCCACAGCTTTGGGCTGCCAACCTGTCCTCCTAGATGCAAGTGCAGCTCTGGAGGTTCACCAGGATGTTTAGCTCTCAAACTACAAACATCACCATGGGGGCACACAACCACCTCCAGTGAGCACAGAACAGTCAAAAAGAGAACTCTGTACAATGAGCTGTACTATAAAAGCAACGCTGCACAGGGAGAAATGGGCCAGCCTATACCAACCACTTCCTGGCACACAACCCACCCATCTGTTAGTCTTTCTGTCAACCAAACGTTCAGCAGAGACATTTACCTGGCTGTTGATGGGATTGTTCTCACCGAACACTAACCAACCCCCAATGCAGGCTGCAAAGAAAGAATGAA